ACCAGGTGACCTATCACCTGGACAAGGGAGAAGAGATTGATGTCATATATCTTGACTTCAAAAAAGCCTTCAATCTGGTATCCCATGATCACCTCTTGGTGAAACTGGCCTATTGTGGCCTTGGGTCCACCACAATCCGCTAGCTGGGAAATTGGCTCCGTGGTTGGACCCAGAGGGTGGTAATTAACGGAAGTCAATTGTCATGGTGCCCTGTGACCAGTGGGGTCCCCCCAAGGCTCTGTCCTTGGACCCATACTGTTCAACATCTTCATTAATGATGTGGACATTGGAGTCAGAAGTGGACTGGCCAAGTTCGCCGATGACACCAAACTTTGGGGCAAAGCATCCACACGAGAAGACAGGAGGGTGATCCAGGCTGACCTGGACGGGCTTAGCAAATGGGCGGACGAGAACCTGATGGTGTTTAACACTGAAAAATGCAAGGTTCTCCACCTTGGGAGGAAAAACCTGCAGCATACTTATAGGCTCAGCAGTGCTATGCTGGCTGGCACTATGGAAGAAAGAGACTTGGGGGTCATCATTGACCACAAGATGAACATGAGCCTGCAGTGCGATGCTGCAGCTAGTAAAGCGACCAAAACACTAGCTTGCATCCATAGATGCTTCTCAAGCAAATCTTGGGACGTCATTTTCCCCTTGTAGTCGGCCTTGGTGAGGCAGCAGCTGGAGTACTATGTCCTGTTTTGGGCCTCACAATTCAAAAAAGATGTGGAGAAACTTGAGAGAGTCCAGAGAAGAACCATGCACATGATCAGAAGTCAGGAAAAGAGACCTTACGATGACAGACTGAGAGCCCTGGGGCTCTTTAGCCTGGAAAAGCGCAGGCTCAGGGGTGATCTGATGGCCACCTATAAGTTTATCGGGGTGACCACCAGTATCTGGGGGGACGTTTGTTCACCAGAGCGCCCCAAGGGATGACGAGGTCAAACAGTTACAAACTACTGCAAGACCGATTCAGGCTGGACATAAGGAAGAATTTCTTTACTGTCCAAGCCCCCAAGGTCTGGAACAGCCTGCCACCGGAGGTGGTTCAAGCACCTACACTGAACACCTTCAAGAGTAAATTGGATGCTTATCTTGCTGGGATCCTATGACTTCAGCTAATTTCCTGCCCCTTGGGGGCTGGACTCGATGATGTTCTGAGGTCCCTTCCAGCCCTAATGTCTATGAAATCTATGATTCAATTCGGAGAGATTAATGAGTCTCCTGATTCAATTTGGATTCGGAGATTCAGCCTCCAAATCGGGTCTAATTTCCTCTAAATTGAATCAGCGACTGAAGCTTTGCACAGCCCTACTGCACAGTAATATTTGGCTACTGCACAGTTAGCATCACTGAAAAGCCATGTGCTGGTGCTATTGCACAGTAGTGTGACAAATATGACAAATATTTTTTATTTTCAATCCATTTATTTGATTTTAGTATATTTTCCATAATATGCATATATATTTTGATTTCTATTCCCAGTGGGGAGGAGATGGAGATTGATCCTGGAACTTTCCCAGTGAAGAAAGTGAGTTCATTTTATATATATAAAACTCAGTTTTTCTATATCCTGGTTGGGGTAAAAGTTTCTTTGTAAAGATTTATTTGTAAAAATAAAGTCAGTGTCCTGCCCTGTATTCTAATGTCATGAATGCTAGGTAACAGATACTGATATGTATGAAGTTATTGTTAAGAGTGAGATTGACATTTGAACAATATAAATTCATAGTGGGGGCAGGGTCCAGCAAGGAATAGGAGATGCTCTGTTTACCAGGGCATCCCTTGGAGTGACTAGGAACAACAGCCACAAACTGAGAGAGCAGATTTAGGTTGGGCATCAGGAAGAACTTCTTTATGGTAAGAGTTGCCAGAATTTAGAATGGGCTTCCAAGGGAGGTGGTGCTCTCCCCTTTCTTGAGGGTCTTTGAGAGGAAGCTAGACATGCACTTGGCTGGGGTCATGTGACCCCAGTGCTCTTTCCTGCCCAGGGCAGGGGGTTGGACTTGATGATCTACTGAGGTCCCTTCTGACTCAAACATCTATGAATCAAAGTATTTTATATGTTTTACTTTCATGCTTTATAAAAGCGTTATAACTGACTTACTGAAATACCTTAATGAAATAAAAATCACATTTTTCTCTATTATTAATAATATTCCATGCCTTTAGCTTGAGACAGTGACTGGTCCAGCAAGATTGTCATTGATAAGCCCCCCTCAAGGTGGACGTATGGGTAAGTAAATTCCACAATAGTCATATCATATTTACTAACATATCACATGCACTGTCCCCCCCAAAACATAGCCTCCCTTCCCTCCCCTCAAGCTGTGTCATAAACTGGGAAGCTAATCTTCTGCCCACAGCAGAAATACCCTGGTTTGAGTTACTACCCCACAGTTCAGTCACTGTGACATTACTATTCAGACAGCTGTGGGATTCAGTTGATTTAATAGCTCCTTGCTCTTCACTCTGCACATGTTAACAGTTGTCTGTCCTTGTTATGCTCTTGATGTCCTACTAATCAAGTTAACCTTTCTTGGGACAATTTTTCTATCCACTAGCTGCTTCTGATCTCTCTTCTCCTATTTCACAGCCCTGGAGACTCTTCAGAGCTTTTCAAAATCGTAGACCCACGCATGGACCCCATGCTTTAGTAGCAGCTAAGTTTCCACTTTTTAACTAAGCAGAAAAGTGAGGATAAGTCAGCAGAAACTTAGTTTCTGCCCCTGTTCTATGCATCCATAACTCTGGAAAAATGGTGTTTTTTTTTTTTCATTCTGACTTTCTAAAATAATGTGTGTATTTTAATTTGAGCTGTGTTGAAAAAATACAGCAATTTATTATCTTTTAATTTTTTAAGTGATTTGCTAAATAGACATTAATTGCTTCATAGAGTCCTTTTTTGCTCACAGCTAGGAAGGAAGGTATCATGTAAAGGTCAGTCCAGTGAGGAGGAAACAGTAAATAAACATGAATGAAAAAAGTGTCTGCTCTGTCCTCTTCTCCTATAACCTGAATAATGTTAGCTGAAGAACCACTGTTAATGGCTGCACAACAATTTGATTAATGTCGTGTCAGGAACAGATGTGATTTAATTGTGGTGTATAACAGAGGGTTAACACTGATGTTTTACTTGATTAGAGTATTATTTATTAAACACAAAGTTTATTTTAAACATCTGAAGTAGGGGGGCAGAGGTAATGAAACTAAAACTAAGACCAGAGAGGTGGTTAGCTGCATTAATCTGAAGTCAGCAGAATGTAGAGCAGGGTGTCACCTTAGAGACTAACAGGTCCATAGAGGAATAAGCTTTTATAGACAACAATTTACTTTGTTAGATGATAGCCTAGGAGAACTGGTTCAGAGAGGCATGAGCTTTTGTAGACAACTGCCTACTTCATCAGATGATAATAAATAATAGCAGCTGATAAAGGAGTCTGTTGCCTATGAAAGCTCGTGCCTTTCTTGAACCTGTCAGGACAAGGTGATATCATCAAGACAACTTTCTGCCTAAAAGTAAGACAAAACAAAGGTAGTCCAGAATGGGGACCAAATATTTCCATTTCATTGGAGATCATTGCTTACAGCACAAGGGTAGGGTGAGGATACCAGGGATTTGCTATGTTGACTATTTACACAAAATTCTGTACTATTTTGGAAGTTAGGCAAAACCTCTGACATACATTAGACAACCCTGGAAGGCCCACTGTGTTACAACAACCACCCTGAATTTTTCTATAGGTTGCAGCGCTTCCTTGAATCTGCATGCTGCACCTCATTCATAATATGCTCCTTTGACCCTTGGCTAGGCACAGGATGCTCCTACATCAGTGCTCACGGGGAGATGCTCAAGAGAGAACCTTATGGCAGGCTTCTACAATTCCTAACCTAAGCTCTTATGGCCCCTTTACACTACTCCAACCCTTTTAAGTGGTTCAGTGAGCTGGAGCAGGGATCAACACCCCAGTGCTTCAATGGGTTCCTCCCATGCTGAATGTTGAAGTACAGGTTTTCCTCGCTTTATGCGGGTTCTGTACGTGCAAATTTGCTCTTATGTGATGACCCTTTTGATACCAAAAATTTGTTATATGCGAGGTAAATTTACTCTTACGTGATCAGTGTGGTGGAAGCCCACGGTCAGCTGCTTTGTGTGGTGCATTGCGGGAGTGATGTGCACCGAAATATAGTCTCCTTTGTGGATTTGTGCTCCTCGCTTGTTGTCTGCGACATGTGTTTCTGTAGTTGCCATCCTCATGATAGTGCCCTGTGCTTGTGTGCACTGTCTGCTGTTGGTGAGTACCAAAATTGTCTTGTAAAAGTGGGAGAAATGGGTCTGGGGTCAGTACAGTCAAAGTCTTGGCACGTATCCCTATTTGTTACATTGTAAAGTGGGCTCCTTTTATGCGAAATTGAGTTATGTGCTGTTTTCCAGGAACACATGTACAGCATAAAGTGAGGGAAACCTGTACATGTTTAGTTTTTCAAAGGTAAAGACCAGATTCTTCAGTTCTTTATTGGTTTGTATGCAATACACATTCTTTGTAAATGTAATATACATACATTTCTCTCCCATTTCTCAGTAAGCCATAAATATTTTATCATCTATTTTGTATCTGATTTAAATACTTATATCCTCTTATGCTTTTGTTTTTGCTTTTAAACTTACAAATCACAAAATACAGTCTAAGATAAACATTTTTTCATGGTGCTTAAATATAAACAAACATTCAAAGTATATATCAATATTGTGAGTACAACTTTAATATAATTAAGTGCTCAGCATGCTGAAGATTCAAGCCCAAAGAAAACAGATGCTTCCAGTGGACAAGTCCTAGGGAGTCCAAACAAGCTGGTAACACTGGTATAGTGTTACAAAACTGAAGATCAGAACAACGAGCCATTTCTTGACACATTAAAAAGAGTTTTTTTAAGAAATGATGGGTGGAATAATAACTGCAGAATTGAAGCAGCTCAATGCTATTTTATGAATAAGAGAAGGGAAAAAAACTACTATAGATGTTGGGCCAAATAGAGCATAATTGTTGCAGGAAAGGTGCAAAGTAAACCATCTTACACCAGGTAGTTTCTGAAGGTTTCACTTACGAGAAATTCAGGAATTGGTTTCACCTTTATGGGAGCATTGGGGGGTTATTGTAGCTGTGATGGTCCAGGAAAAATGGGAGAAGCAAAGGTCTTTTATTAGACTAACTATATAGTTGGGTGAGAAATAGACAAACTTCACGGTATCACTGTACCACTGGTCCAGTAAAAAATATCACCCACAAAAACCCTTATATGCTTTTTGGAGTTCTGCACAAAAGATAGGAGAGATTTCAGTCCTTTTGGGGAATTGTAGCTGTTCCTGTAGAAAAATATAAATAAACATTGTAGATGTGCCCACTTGTTATCTAGCACTTCTATGGCTATGTTGACCCTTAATATATATATAATGCTCCTATAAGAGGAGCTGTGGCCACCTCCTTACATTTCTGTCAGCAGGGTTTTCCACCACAGTTTATCTGGAATAAACAGATGATGAATTTGAGTCAAATTGTCAGCTAAATTCTTCCCTTTGTTTCCAAAATGATGTCTTAAATAAAATGTACCTAATATTTAATACTGTATTTAAACTTATAATTTGTTATAGGTAGTGTTTCCCACAAAGGTTCTCAATCAGCTGGACTAGCAGCAAGTCAGAATAGCATACCAGGCTCTGTAAGGTAACTAAGTGCGGCTCGTGCTTTTCAAGGTGCTACAACTTTTGAAAAGAAAGTGAAATCTAAATTTGGACTGGCTTCATAATAAATCTGTATCCATGCAGTTCAAAGACTGTATTTTTATGTCATCTTTCTAAAGAAGACAATCTATTTTGCAAGATGACTATAATTTAGTGCAGATTAGTTTATAGAACTTTCCATTAAAATATGAGCTTTGACAATTTCTTTAACTGTTTTCGAAATCTATTGAAGGATTATAATAGTCTCAAATTCTGTCAACCTTTTAACTTCATTAATAGGTCAACACCACTAAGAATACCGTATAATGGATGTTCCTTTACTCCTACTTATGGATCACAGAGTAGTAGGCTGGGCATGTGGGATACTCCCAGTTCCAGAACTCCTCAGCGGTATCCATTTACACCACCTTCCTCACAGTCATCTGTAACAAGACCACCAATCACCATCGCCAGTCTTCTGCAGAGGCAACATCTAGGTAAGTAAAATCAGTGAAAAATGAATTATTTATCTTTAGAAGTACACTTAGTGTAGACTACAAATTACTTTCTAGAGTTTAAAGAAACAAACTGTGCAGTGCACAAGATACAGTTTTAGAAAATGTGGGGTATGCTGTAAATACAACATGTATACATATGTTATAAAGGAGTTTAGTGTTTCTGGATGATATGTGGCCTCATCATTCTACACAATATCCAGTGTACCTGAAAACACTGCTCTTGCTTTAGGTCGTGTTCTTATATTTTAATAAAGATTTAGAAAACACTTTAAATCTAATAACATTAAGACTTACTTTTAGGCAAAATCCTAGTTTGGTAAAAACTATTGTTATGGAAACTTTTTTTCTGTTGCCAGTTCTGTTTTTGCCTAGTTAATCCCTTGTAAAGCTGTAAACATCTGGAAGAAATTGCAGATGTATCATATAGACATAATCAAGAGTGAGTGCTTCTAGTTGGCTGCAGTTTAGCCTTCATACTGTGCTCTTGAATTTGAGTTGTTACTGTGGTCTTAGATGCTGAGCAACATGAGGCTATGCATGGTCCATCTTCAGCTTGCACCCTCATTATCCCTGACATGCTTAGTGGCATTATAAATGTAACTGGGTGGTACATGGCTGGTCTTCCCTCTTCAACTGAAGGGATGTTAGGAGGTATGTGTGTGTGCCGTGGGAGTGTGGCTGCTTAGCCTAAGCCAATTCACCTTCCTCCCTTGCAGAGCAGAGCAGAGCAGAGCAGAGGCTGTGGTCACCCAGTAGAATTTAACTATTTACAGAACTTTATTTTTAGGACCCATAAAACTTATTAAACATATACATATTTCCAAGAACTATTTAAAATTTATAATACTAAAGCAGTAAATCTTATTACTCAAATACACAGGCAGAAATAAAGTGGATATGACAGACAGAGGCGCTTTATCAATGTAAACCTTGACTTCTAGTGGGCTTCTTATTAGGGTATAGCCCCTATACTCCCAAGCCGCGCAGGCTGCTGGCAAGTGAACAAGCAACAGTGGCACCAGGTTAAGCAATGGTTCACTAAATGGGACTCAACAATAAGTAAACAATGGTTAGAGTACATAAACAAGGTTTCAGAAATACAAACCCACACATAGGCATAGCAGCCACTTAAATCCAAAGTGATAATCACAAGATCCTCCGCAGCATTTTAGCTGCTGACCAAGTAGCCGACAGAACAAGGCAATATGTAAACATCTTATAATACAATATTGAATTAAATAAATTCACAAGGAAAAATACAACTTACGACCCACCCTGCATATATATGGACCTAGGGAAACCTTAAACGATTACATAAATCGTTTCATACATGAGAATCTAGGATAGAAAGAGGGTTTCCTGGCTGTTGAAGAGTCCTGGGGACACCAAGGGAATAAAAAAATTGGGGTGTTCTGTAGGAAAAGAAAGGGTGATTATGGAAGGGAAGCAATATGTAAGTGGAGAAGAGAGGAAAAAGAGTACACACAGGACTGAGTATGATAAAGCAAGGGTGATAAAATTGATGAAAGGAGAATGGACAATGTAAGATAGAGAATTTGAGCAAAAAATGAAATTTAGAATGGATATAAAGAAAAAGAATGAGAGCAAGAAATTTCCTCTCAAAAAAAAGAAAGAGAAAAAAAAAGAAAAGGGCTTGGAAGGCAAGTTATATGAAGAGAAAGCTGAAGGAGCCAGGCATGACCAGTTTAAGGAAACCAAGCTTAAGAGGGGAGATACGCCAGTCTTCAAATATTTGAAAGGCTGCCATAAGCCACCTCTTTTCTCCTGGTGCAGAGTAGGATACAGACTAATGGCTTGAAGTTGCAGCAAAATAAGTTTAGACTGGCTACCAGGAAAAAAAACACAACTTCTTTACTGTTAGAACCATGTGGCAATGGAATAGATGCCTAGGGAAGCTGTCGACTCATCACTGGAGGTGTTTGAGGAGAGACTGGACAGCCACTGGTCATGGATGATCTAGGCGTAGCTCATGTTCTGCTATAGCTATTTCCTCATGCTTCTGAACTTTGTCGGTTGCTGCCTAGGGCCAGGAGAGAATCCCACCCCCACCTCAAGCTGCTATATGTGTATCAGGGTTTTGCTTTTTTCAAGTCTCTCTTGGAAGCGCTGGGCATTGGCTGCAACTAAAGCTGGGAATTTTGACTGGAACTTAAAGCTGTAGGTTACTGGTTAGAGGGTCTTGTCCCCTCATTCAGCATTAGAACAATATTTGCAGTCAGGAAGAAACTTTACCCCATGCTCAGATTGGTATGGACTGCAGAGGGCTTTGCCTTCCTCTGTAGAAAGAGGTGTGTCCCTTTTCCTGGAATCTCTCAAGTGGTTTTTAACAAGCTTTACAGCAACAGGTCTTTGCCTGTTGTGGTCCCCCTGCTTTAACCTTTGCGGGTTAGGGTGTATGTCTTGGTTGCCACTAAAGTGTTTTGCGTCCGGGTTGACTGTGTAGTTTTACTAAGAGGTTAGACAATGGATTTGTATAGGGTGGTTTGGATAAGGATGATTGTGCCTCAGGCAAGGGATTGGACTAGATGACCTATGAAGGTCCCTGCCAGCCCGACTTTTCTATGATTCTATGAAAAGCGAATCTCTGATGGATTGTGTGGGACAGGATGAGACCAAACAAAGACGTAAAGAATAAAAAATGAAAGAAGAGAAAATGCAAGAAAAGAGAAACAGATTTTACATTAACACAATTTAGTCTTATATAAATATTTATATTGTTTATATTTTATGATAAATATAAAATGTATACTTCATAGAAATTCCTTGTCTTATGTTCTCTATAAATTTTGATTAAAGGGATCTTATAGTACTTATGAGAACTTACTGTTGTGTATTCTGGAATCTGTAGTTTAATTATTGCTGCAGGGGCAGCTGCATGAAAGCCAGCTCATTTAGTGAATTTTTTGTATATTTGGTGTATCCATGTGATCAAGGTAATAGTCTTCGGGGAAGATAAATTCTTGACACCAGGAAGTGTATATCGCAAAGGACAACATTATTACATACAACAAACTAAAATGCTAGTCAGAACTTACAAACCTTCCGTCTCAGTGCTATTAAAAGTCACTTCATTATCTAAGAATCACATGACCAGAACAGTTCGGAATTGGAAGTCAAGTAATGGGGGGTGGTGGAAAAACTGTCCCAAAAAATTAAACTGACCTTAACTTTGAACTCATATGCTGAGGAAGTCCTTTAAATTTTACTCCAAATTCTTCAGAAATCATAGATTTCATAGACATTAGGGCTGGAAGGGACCTCGGAAGATCATCAAGTCCAGCCCCCTGCCCAAAGGGCAGGAAGTCAGCTGGGGTCATAGGATCCCAGCAAGATGAGCATCCAGTTTCATCTTGAAGGTGTTCAATGAAGGCGCTTGAACCACCTCCGGTGGCAGGCTGTTCCAGACCTTGGGGGCTCGGACAGTAAAGAAATTCTTCCTTATGTCCAGCCTAAAACGATCTTGAAGTAGTTTGTGACCATTCGACCTCGTCATCCCTTGGGGCGCTCTGGTGAACAAACGTTCCCCCAGATGATGGTGGTCACCCCTGATAAACTTGTAGGTGGCCATCAGATCACCCCTGAGCCTGCGCTTTTCCAGGCTAAAGAGCCCCAGGGCTCTCAGCCTGTCATCGTAGGGTCTGCTTCCCTGACCTCTGATCATGCACGTGGCTCTTCTCTGGACTCTCTCAAGCTTCTCCACATCCTTTTTGAATTGTGGAGCCCAAAACTGGAAGCA